TTCCTGCAAATTATCCCAGACTGTTTGAACTGTATCCTCTTGCCTACCGCCAGGTTTTGTAATTGTTCTTTGCTTAACATTTAGGATAGGATGCACAAATTTATGAGTTATCTTCACTAGCAAGAAGTGAGAGTCTTAGCCAAGGGGGTAACAGTGCAAGTATCATCAGCTGTCAAAGTCTGTGATGAACTTGGAACCATAGGGCTGATAGCCAAAACCTGACTTAGAGTTGCCGTAGTGCAGAGAGACCATAGAATGTGACTGAAGAGTTGGGTAAAACTGAAGATTCAGAGGAAAACTGTGATGTGAAAGTTCTGATTTAATGAGTTTTAATACCACCATAAATCATTTAACTCTCTATGAATTACTTTGAGTTCCTATTTCATAGAGGTTGGATGTTTAAATTGTAGTAAACATCCTGGAGAGATCGTCTCCAGATAAAATACAAAATACTTCCTAAACACTTCTGCTATTTTGGAAGAATGACCCTGCAGGCATTAGATTAGCCTGATGTTTCATTTATAGCTCATTCACAGTTTATTTTTGAATCTTGTATTATTTCCTTCTGGAAGAAATCTTAAACTTGAATTTAAGTGTTTAAGATTACAAGTCAACCTCGAGATCCGTGTGCCATATGGAAAGACTTACAGAGAAGCAAACTGAGAAATGGAACTTCCTTTTTTTTCCTGTTAACTGATCAGGAGGACAATAGTTGACTTTAGATTTGAAACAAACACTTTGCTGTAGATCTCATCTGCTTGCCAGAAGTCTGAAGCGCAGATGAAAAAGTGGATATTGAAGTTTTCCTGCCCTAATGTTCTTAAGATTCAGCACGTGAAATGTATTCCTCTATTAGATAATGTCTGATAGTGTTTCAGTACCTGATTTAAATGTCTTGGCCATGTCTGTAAGGGGAAGTACATAATATAGACAAGAAGTGCCTTCATTTTAATGATCTTTGTACCTTCTGAGGATAAATAGAAAGGTAGCATTTTTCTTTACAGAATATGCATAAATGGGTATACATAATCCACTTGTACAAATAATCTATCTCGGAAAGTTTTGAGTGGCCACTATCTAAGAATCTTGGCATAGTTTTGTTCAAGTTCTAGCTCTTTGTCAAGCCCTCATGTTATATCAATAAAAACAGGTTTCAGTGAAATTTTAGTCCTTGTTTTATATTAATTTGAATGTATGCAGTGATTGGAAGAGCAGAGTTATTTCAGGATCAAGAAAAATATTGGACACCTGAGAACCAAGTGCCTATTCTTACCCTGTGTTGGGTGAACTAACGTTTATATCCCTGAAAGAATATTCACCTCAATAAAGTTCTTGAAAGGGAAACTATTTCCTATCAAGCAGATTTCCAGTAGCAGAACTAAGAAATAACACACACGTGCGCACATATACACGCACAATCCCAAGCCAGCTTGAAAAGCCAAGGGTTGAATGACTCTGTTGGCCTGAGTAGCTGCAGAAGGCATTGTTCAGACTTTACTGATTTCTGAGGTGGGTCATGACATGTAATAGCAGGTCTGGAGCAAGTGATTAACAACAGATTGAGTAGGAATCTTCTAAATCATCTCTGCTGCTGGAAAAAGAAACGTTTTTGGAACTTTATTCTCAGTGTCTTGGGTTCTTGGTCTCCTCCTCTGCTAATCAGTATCAGATTTTGCCTCTGTTCCTCTTAAATAAAAATACCATAATCATCTTACCATCTGGCCTAGAAGCTATTCTTAGTATCTTGTTGATATAAGACTGTACTGAGAAATAGTTATAGTCTGTAGAACTACAGGATACCATTGTCATTTTATTTGAGACTTACTAAAGAAGAAACAAATTGAGTGAATTGGCCAGTTACGGGGGGGATAAATTGGTTTTCATTTGTCAGCATCACTTTAAGATTAGATGTGTAAATAAAGCGATGTCAATCTTCTGGTATATTGAAAGGCAAACAGTGTCACTGATGTCCATAGTTAGTGGTTGTAAAAGTTCGATGAAGTATTATGGGGTAAGACGCATCAGTGTTCTGTCAGACTTAAGCAAGGAGAGACAAATAGGCAACTGCCTCCATAAGACTAAAATATAAAAGCCTGACTAATTTGATAAACTTGAGGAGTGAAGTGCATTATATTAGATCACATCACTTTGTTTCATCTTGTTGAGCTGTTTCAGTAACTAAGCACCTGTTAATTCTTCTCCCAGAAATTGAGGGATGAACCATCTACTGCAGGGAAAATCTGGTGGTACAGAATGGATCTTGGAACTCAGTCTATGTGCAGTATACTGGGCATTGGTTCTTAATCCATACTTGAAAAGAATAGCATTGCAATGACTGGACTCACCTTCTGCTTCCTGCAAAGAATTGTTGAAATTGCCTCTGTCATTTTTAAAATTCTTCTACTACAAAGGCTGCAGTGGGAAGTACCCATTATAATCTTTTCACATGGAGGAATTTGTCCTATTGCAGTCTTCTGGAGAGATTTCCTGATCAACTTCTGCTCCATGTTTAGACTCATACCATCCGGAATCTCTTTCAGAAAAATATAAAAAGTGTAAAAGTATGTAGAAGTGTTTTCGTTCTAACCACAATGTCTAACTTCATTAGATGCCCAGAATCTGTTACCAAAACGTAGCTCTTCAGCAGTATCTGTAAATATCTTGAAATAGAAGATTTTAGAAATTGTTTGCAATTAGCTTTGACCTATTCAGCTCCAACCTCAGCAGTCAAGGATGACCACATGCTGACTTTGCTTGCTTGCTAGTTTGGATTTGATGAGCTCGGTCCTGTTCCCATCAATCACATATTCATATGACTTGGTACCACTTAGTGTCTCTTTGAGTGTCTGGTGTGCTGCTAAGGTTTAGGAGACTTGGGCTTTAGAGGTGTTCTCTCCAGACAACTACATCTCATGTAGCAGTTCTGTACTTCTCCGTCAGGGGTCTTTCATCACTGAGAGGTACTCCCTATTTTAGTTTGAAGTGTTACTCTTCATAGTCTTAGATTTCCGTGACTAAATAGGAGACTTATGTTTTGCCATGGAAGATTTTAGATGCACAAAGACCCAACAATAAATTGACACATACTTGTGTTAATATCGCACTAGTTGGATGCTCTTTAAAGTCACTGAATTTTGCTTGAGTGTTATTTTTACGGAGTAGCCGTATACAAGTCCATCTTATGGATGCCTTTTTCAGTGCCTTGTTATAATTAGTTCTAGTGTTTATTTTTCTTTTTCTTTTGTTCCAACAGAACAACAGGCTTAGGAAACATGCCTTTGAGTTGAAAATGAATGACCTCACATACTTTGTGCTGGCAGCTGAAAATGAGCAGGATATGGATGACTGGATTTTCATTCTCAACAAAATACTGCAAATAAATCCAGAGGGAAACATTCAGGAGAGGAAGAGCGCAGATCTTACTGATCTGAAACTTGGTGAGAGTGAATAGTCTCTTGCATTGTTGCTTTTTGTTGTTGTTGGGGTTTTTTTAATCAAATGCAATAAAACGGACCTTCAGACATCACTATGGAATCATTTTAACTGCCTGAGCCTGTAATGGATTCTGCACCTATTGATTTCTGATGAAGCTGCACCAGTCTTTTGGCAGTCCCTGAGCAATGTCAGCTAACTCCCCACAGATCATTTTCAGAAGGCTGTGGGGGAGGTAAAGCTGCTCCCCACGAAGTCAGCAGGAGCTGTGTGGCTCTGCTTTGCATATGCAGCTCTTTCAAGTATAGTCCTCTCTGTCAATGACCTTGCTAGTACTTAGTGTTTTACTGTCTTGAGAGTCTGAAGGTTTTAAAGAGTTTTGTGCTGGAGAGAGGTTAGATCAGTTTTTCCCAGTGTTTTGTTTTCTTTAAAAATCTGGAGCTAATAATTAAAAGAAATCCTATTCTTTCCCTGGAAGCTTACTGACTTTTCATTTCTTGCTTTTGTGAGTTTGTTTATAATTATGCTTTCACTGTGGAAGAAAGAATTGGATGCTCTGTTATACTGCACTCTTCATGTGGCAGTAACTCATTCCTCCACATAATGAATCCATGTTCAGTTTGGATGAACCCCAGCTGAAATTCTAAGACTGAAAGCACTTGAAACCTTAATACAAATTTGAACTACTTATGCTCTGAGCTGAATCAAAGGTTTGAATCCACATGCATCTGACTCTTGGGGAAGTTCAGAGCTAATTGAAGGCTTTAGCCTGGTGTTTATAATAAATTCTGATTTCGGAGGAGCAGGATACTCCTTGTATAGCCAAAGATGTTTTTATAATTTGGAGTCACAGGAGATTTGCACTTCAGAATCAGAGAAGTACTTTTGAAAATTCCACCCATAAGGGATATTAATGAAACAGGAAGAAATATGTGCGTAAAAGGTCAAAGACATAAGGCTAACAGAAAACAGAAGTTTCTACTGGTAAAAACCCTGGTAACAAGCAACAGGAATGTGATAGGGAGTTAACTTGTCAAAGGCAGGATGCTTTCTTGGCAGAAGAGCTCTAAATGGCTGTAATGACTTATTTCACATTGGGCTGAATTACCTAGTGAAAGCAGAACAGTGCCTAGCGAGCTCAGTAAAGCAAAGGGGTTGTTGTGTAGGGCTGTTTTCTGGATCCACAGATTTGCAGATCAAGGAGTCCAGGCTATAACCCTCCCCTTCCCAAAGAGCAAGTCAGGTCCCGCCTGTCTCACTGAAGACTCCCTTTACTGAGAGTCCAGAGTCTTTCTGTTGACATAAACCATCAGTGTTGCCTCGGAAGGGACTGAGAAAGCAAAGGAAGGTGTCTTTGCTGTGGGCAATGAGTATTTGTCATGGATGAATGAGTCAGATGTTTCACTGAGTAGACTCAGGCCTCTTGTTTGAAAGCTTAGATGTAGACTAAGTTACAGTAAGCACTAGTGGGAGATGAGGTTGAGGAGGACAGAGGTTTACATTAGTATCTCTTCCATTTGTTAGCCTGGTGACAGGGAGTAAAACAGCATGAGGATAGATTTTCTCTCTTTTTTTTTTTTTTTTTAAACCCAGCAATAATAGTCAGTATAATAAAAACATCTGTGTAATTAAATATTTCTTCTTTTCAAGACCCTGCAGAAGTTTCACTGACTTGCGATTGCACTCAGGAAGAGACTGATTCTTCAGAGAACAACTTGCACCCAGACTTCTCGAAAGTAAAGGATGTTATATTTATCTTTATAAGCTTAGTGGAAAGTTCTAACTAGCTGAAAAATGCCTGCCAACAGATTATCATTAATATTGTGAAAGGTTTGAAAATACAGCCAGTCCACTGTGATTGTTAGAGCCATGACAAATAGCAGGAATAGTTTTCTTTCTGAACAACTGGTAGTTTTGCTTAAGTGAGAAAAACTTAACTGGACTTAAAGAAGGTAGGTGCTCCCTAGAGTGGTTTGATTTAGTCCTGCAAAGTCAGTAAGCATCTGGTCCCTGCAGTTATCTGTGAAATATTTACTCTTTTTAACTGCATTTCAGCCCTTGGAGAGCTGAGATTTCCTGTGTGACTTGCAAGGAAATGAGCTGTGAACTGTTCATCATCTTCTGTAATTTCATTGAAAGATGCATGTGGTATCAGGGGAGGTGTTTTGTCCTCTGCATCTCATGACCTGCTTCATGTGGGTGAGATAATTGTAGATGGTGCTAAGAAACTTTTCTGATGACAGGCTAGATTGGAAATATTTCACTGCTTTTTCTTAAACAGATGTATGAACTGTTCGTAATCTTCTGTCAGTGAGCTACTATAGAAACTTTATATCTACACAGCCAAATGCTATTGAGGGATGTTACTCCCACAGATTTGAGCTGAAAGCTGTATATGCAAGTGAGGACAGAGTATAGTCTACATTTTACCGTAGGTTGTGTTGATACGTATGAAGTAGTCACCTGGTATTAAAAAGAAAACCAAATCAAACAAACCCAAGCACAAAATCAATGCAAAACAACCAACCAACCGGATAAAATGTAACTGAGTTTTTGTATGAAGAACAGCAGTATTATCTGATCATCTTGTCTGTGAAAGGACACTTTCCAATGGTTTGATTAATGCAAATATTTCAAAGGTATCTTAACGATATCTCAAAGACCACTGGTAGCCTGCAAGGCTAAAATAGATGGTCTGTATGTTGTGTGATGCTTGTATTGCCCTTTATATGGTTCATTCCTGTGCCCCCCGCCTTGCTCTATAGGCTTGGCTGCAGCAGTGATCTGTGGCCTGTCCCTCACCCCCACGGCAAGTAAATCTCCTGACCCATCAGGTCTCCCCATCAGGACCTGCTTCTGCAAGTCAGCCTGTGGGCGCTTTAGGAAGTGAACACAGAGCTCATGGTCTTGCTGTGCTGCTTCTGCATGCTACTTAATGTGTATCAGCAGCATCGTGCTGTTGTGATAAATGCAAAATGTTGAATGGGACCTGAACAACATCCACTCTTCTGACATCTTACACAATAGATTTGTTAGTAACATGTACGAACTTGTATTACTTCACTGATCTATTTTGGGGTTCCTTAGAAGTATATCATGGCCTGAAAATCTGTGCTTCACAAGCATATAACCTTCAAAGAGTGTTTGAAGATACTTTGGAAGAAATACTGCAGAAATGAGAAGTGTTGTTACAAGTGAAACATTGATCATGCATTTGGAAGTCTAACAACTCTGGATTTCTGTTCTTGGGCAGAAAACTAATTTATTATCTGTCACCACAGTACATCGCAGAAACAGAAGAAACGGTGAAAGCCTCTCGAAATGCAGAGCGACTAAATCTTTTCTCTTTGGATCCTGATATAACAGTAAGTAATTTTTATATATCTATATATCTGTATCTATCTATCTATATATATAGATGTATATATTTAGAAGTTTTAAAAAACAGGTGGTCTGAGCTGACTGGGTTAGCTAAGCCACTGGAGTGGACTGGAGTTCAACAAGCAACTGGGTATATCCGACAGTTCAGCTTTGAAGGGTGAGGGGAGCTATCTCTAGTCCGTAGGGATTTCTGTATAGACTGCACCCCTATTGGATCACAGAATGGTTGATGGATGGAAGTGACCTCTGGAGGTCATCTAGTCCAGTCTAGCTAAGATTTCAATCATTAAAGCAAACTGAAAATACTACAGAAGCAGAACCATCTCTTGGAATGTTACGAGAGCAGTGGTTTTATTCATTACACTGAATTTGACTACAGAAATGTGAATTGATATAAAAAGCAATGGGAAGAAGGTACAGCTGGAGGTACAAAAGGCTATTTGTGGGGAAAAAAAAGGTTTAGCTGGAAATGTAGGGTAGTAGGTACAAAAGGCTATTTGTGGGGAAAAAAAAAGTTTCGCTGGAAATGTAGGGTAGCGCATGTTGCTTTTCTTTTTATCTTCAGCTTGCTTATCATTGGTGTCAGAGTTCACGGTTCAAAGAATGTTACTCCTTTCACTGAATGTACATTTGCTGGTGATTTAACTGGAGAGTGTATTTTAATTAAAAAGAAGACTGCATTGACATTACATCAGTATCCATTCAAACTTGAACCTCTTGTCAATCAACTGGAGTGCTATTATTAAAAATATTAACTGAATTGAAATGGTGTTTGGTGTATAAATAAGGGGAAAGGAGGGGAAAGGTCTGAAATCTAATCTTAAAATGTGTTGTTATAGTCTGAAAATATGAGGTTGTTTAATATATGCAGGCTCAACACAAGCCAGCAATGTGCGCTT